TGATAAGCAGCACATGAGACAAAGATGAACTTCAAGTTGGCCTCGTTCATTCCTTTCAGCCCCCAGCGTTCCAAAAGGTCTGTGGGAAGAAATTCACCCGTCACTGTGGTATACGCCAAATCAAACACTGGACATTCCGCATACTGGGATTGTTGGTCCCAGCAGGTCTTGCACCCAAAGAGACACCGCAACTGTCCACGAGGATGCGCGATTCGGAAGCTTGTCAACCACCCTCCAGACATAGTGCGGAGAAACGAGAAAACCCAGGATATAGGAGTTGAGGCAAAATGTGCACGGATTTGGTCCCAAGGGATCTCGGCCAATTCGGCTTGGCGTTGAGGCCACCATCGACGCAGTTTCGACTCGAACAGCGGGATCAACAATGGAGGGAGCAAATGATGTGTGAGCTGTGCATACGCCAGACGCTGCGGACGCCAACGCCCGTCAGCGGGTACGACACGTGCGGCAGCCACGACTTCTTCAAACGCATCCCCCGCATGGTAACGATTCAAAAGCCGATCAGCGGCAGCGTCGGCTAGGTATTCCGCGAACGACCGCATCTTCCAGAAGCCCGGATACAAATTGTCATGGTGCGTTAACCATAACGAACGGCCGTCACCCATGTCCACCACTGCGCGACGCATGAAAGCTAAAATGCGCCCATGGACGGCCAGCGTGTCAAGAGAAGAACGAATCAGACGGCTAGTGGCAAAGGCAAGCGGAGATCGAATGTGCGGTCCTGACCAATGGTGCAGCGCGAAGAAATCCTGCAGCCGGAACGACCCCGACGGGAACCGGCACAAGATGGCCATCAGGTGGAAGATCTGCTTGCACATCCGCGTTGGTAGAGGCATGAACTGTGCGCGATATCCTAGCACAGGGACAACCCGACCATTGAAATTGATCGCCGAATACGAGATCGGAGCGCCTGTTTCAGCCAAAAGCCGAATACGCTGACAGAGGGAGGGAGGGAGGGAGGGAGGGAGAGGGGGAGGAGGCAGGAGGAGGAGGGAGGAGGGAGGAGGAGGAGGAGGAGGAGGAGGAGAAGGAGGAGGAGAGGAGAGGAGGAGGAGGAGGAGGAGAGAAGGGAGAGAGGGGGGAGGAGGAGGAGGATGAGGAGGAGGAGGGAGAAGAGAGGGAGGAAGGAAGGGAGGGAGGAAGGAAGGAGGGGGGGATGAGGAGGGAGGGAGGGAGTAGGAAGGGAGAGAGGCATGGAGGGAGAGAGGGAGGGAGGCGTCCCGCGGCCCCCTCCGGCGAGCGGCCCGAGCGCCAAAGGCCGACCAGGACTTCGCGCTCGCGCGCCGCCCCCTTGTAGAAGAGAAGTTGAGGTGGAGGGCTATGGTGAGGGCACTCCTCCTCCTCCTCGTCCTCCTCCTCCTCCTCCTCCTCCTCCTCTTCCTCCTCCTCCTCCTCTTCCTCCTCCTCCTCTTCCTCTTCCACTTCCTCCTCCTCTCCTCCTCCTCTCCTCCTCCTCCTCCTCCTACCTCCTCTTCCTCCTCCTCCTCCTCCTCCTACCTCCTCCTCCTCCTCCTCCTCCCCCTCCCCCCCCTCCTGCTCCTGTCCTTCCTCCTCCTCCTCCTCCTCCTCCTCGCTCCTCTTCTTCTTCTTCCTCCTCTTCTTCGTCTCCTCCTCTTCCTCCTCCTCCCTCCGCCTCCTCCTCCTCCTCTTCCTCTTCCTCGCCTCCCCCTCCTCCTCCTCCTCCTCCTGCTTCCCTCCTACCTCCTCCTCCTCCTCCTCTTCCTCCTCCTCCTCCCCTCGTTCTTCTTCTTCCTTCTTCCTCCTCTGTGTCTCCTCCTCTTTTCCTCTCCTCCTCCTCCTCCTCCTCCTCCGCCCCCTCCTCCTCCTCGCCTTCCCCTCCTCCTCCGCCTCCTCCGCCTCCGTCCGCCTCCTCCTCCTCCTCCTCCTCCTCCTCCTCTTCCTCCTCCTCCTCCTACTCTCCTCCTCCTCCATCCTCCTCCTCCTCCTCCTCACTCTCCTCCCCCTCCTCCCTCCTCCTCCTCTTCTCCTCCTCCTCCTCCACAATTACTCAATATGAATATACTCTCCCTCTTCCCCTGATGGCGTCCGGGTGATGGCCGCGCACCCTCCGCGTACTGTTTTTTGGCACACAGGATGCCCGGGAAATCCCGGGAAACGACTCTCGCTGAGGCGCCGACGTTATTTTCTTCCCCTGATAGCGTCCGGGTGATGGCCGCGCACCCTCCGCGTATTGCTTTTTTACATACAGGATGCCCGGGAAATCCTGGGAAACGACTCTCGCTGCGGCGCGGGCGTCATTTTTTCCCAAAATGCTGCTCTCGTTGAGACGCCGGCCTCATTTCTGGTCCCGAATCCTTCCCCTGATGGCGTCCAGGTGATGGCCGCGCACCCTCCGCGTACTGTTTTTTTGCACACTGGATGCCCGGGAAATCCCGGGAAACGACTCTCGCTGAGGCGCCGGCGTCATTTTTTCCCAAAATGCTGCTCTCGTTGAGGCGCCGGCCTCATTTCTGCTCCCGAATCGTTCCGAATCGTGCTCCCGCTGCAGCGTGGGCCTCATTTTCGGATCGGTGTTTGGCCTCCGTCGTTCAGGATGGCGTTCTCGCCCCAGCGCGGGCCTTTTTCTCGCGCGCCCATCCGCCCGCCACCACCGCGCCGCACCGCCACCACCACCACCACCACCACCACCACCACCACCACCACCAGCACCAGCACCAGTACCACCACCATCACCACCAGCACCACCACCACCACCAGCCTCATTTCTGCTCCCGAATCGTTCCGAATCGTGCTCCCGCTGCAGCGTGGGCCTCATTTTCGGATCGGTGTTTGGCCTCCGTCGTTAGGATGGCGTTCTCGCCCCAGCGCGGGCCTCTTTCTCGCGCGCCCATCCGCCCGCCACCACCGCGCCGCACCACGCCCCGCCCCGCCGCACGCACACCCACCGCCACTTCCACCCACCAGCGCACGCACGCACGCACGCGCACCACCACCGCGCACCGCCACCACCACCGCACTACCCCACACACCACCACCACGCTACACCGCGTCACACCACATCACACGCGCGCACACACAGACACGCACGCACGCACGCACGCACGCACGCACGCACGCACGCACGCACACACACACACACACACCACCACACACACACCAACACACACACACACCAACACACACACCAACACACACACACACACCAACACACACACAAACACACACACACACCAACACACACACCCACACACACACCCACACCACCGCACCACAACCACCACCGTCCATCATCCATCACGCAGGTACGCACCTGGCCCACCAGCAAGACACCAAGACGTCACACCACGTCACACCACAGCACACGCGCACACACGCACACGCAAACACACACACACACGACACACACACACACACACACCACACCACCACCACACACCCACCACCACCACACACCACCACCACCACAACAACCACAACCACGCACACACGCACGCACGCACGCGCACCACCACCCACTACGCACACGCGCGCGGAGCCACAGGTCCGCTACGACACGCGTCCGCGGATAGAGAAAATCAGCGCCATGGTAAGGGATGGGAGGGAGGGGTAGGATGTCAGATGTTGACGCGAGCGCACCTCACTTGTCCCCCCCCTCCTCCTCCTCCTCCTCCTCCTCCTCCTCTTCCTCCTCCTCCTCCTCCTCCTCCTCCTCCTCCTCCTCCTCCTCCGTCTCCTCCTCCCCCATCCATTCCTCCATGCCCTCCTGCCCATCCTCCCATGTTCCACATTCTGCCTCCCCCCCCCTCCCTCCCTTCCCACCCTGGATAAGAAAGCGTTGGAGAACGAATCCAGGGTCTGGAAGCTGGTGGGGCACCAAGTCGCCGCCGCCCTCACCAAACAAGCTGAGGGTGAGCTCTACGGCCAGGAACTTTTGCTTCGCGCGTCGCGGCGACGGCCCTTGCGACACGCCGTGCCCTGCGAGCGGGTAGCACGCCGCCCTGACTCGGCGGGGCGTGCAGCTGGACGAGGCCTGGGCCGTGGACGCTCGGGAACGGGGATGTGGACGGCGTGTCGCGCCGAAGCGTGGTGGGCCGGAACAGGCGTCGCGACACGATCACTCCCAGCACACTCTTGTGAAACCGATCGCGCAGGAAAAACAACGACAACATAAACCTAGTCTTCAAAGGTAACCACCCCTTGGAAATAACAACGACATCTCGGTTCAACCGGTACCCCCCCGCTTACGAAATTTTGACAACGGCCGAAGCTCGATTGACTGATTGATGACACGCGACACGTTAAAACAAACTTCCTGACCGTATGGGGGAGGGACACATTGAGCTGGCATCGGCAGTGCATCGCCGGCGGATCGGCGATACGCCCCCGGCAGGGGAGCCGCACGCTCCCATGCGGGCATTGGCTCCAGGACCCCTGCTCCCCCTCCTCCTCCTCCTCCTCTCCTCCTCCTGCTCCCCTCCTCCTCCTCCTCCTCCTCCTCCTCCTCCTCTTCCTCCTCCTCCTCCTCCTCCTCCTCCTCCTCCTCCTCCTCCTCCTCCTCCTCGCGAGGGGGTTGCCGATCGGGGGCTCCCCCTGCGGCCCCGTGGCCTCTCGCGCTTCGCGGCCCCAGAGTCGTGGCCTCCGCCTCGCGAGGGGGCTGCCGTTCGCGGGCTCGCTCGAAGGCCCCGCGGCCTCTCGCGCCGGGTGGCCCCGGTGAAAAGTAAACAATGGCATAAACACAAAAATCAGAGGTCCACGTGGATTTCTCGGGTCGGCGCTGGGGCACCCTGGCGGCGCCGGCGCCGCCCCTGGCGCGCTCCGCGCGCCAGGGAGAAGGATCCAGCGCCGATCCGAGAGATCCGCACGGACCTCTGAGTTTTATGTCCATTTCTCTGCTCGTTCCCCAAGATCTGCCTGTCCGCCAGATTTGCGAGCAGGGCCTGACGCTGGAGGTCGCAGCTGTCCGTTCGACCCTGTGCCATTCGACAGGCAGCTGCTACCACCAGCGGGGAAAATGCCGATCACTACCTCACACGCCGTGGCCGATCCAGCTCGCGCAGGAAAATCTCTACCCTGCCGCCGGCTCTCTGCACCTTGTCGACGCGGAGCTGCGTGCCAGGAGCGAGAATAAACTCCTCCTCGCCCTTGTACTGCGACAGCTCCCTGATGCCGACACTCCTCTGTGCCTTGATCCTGAACAGTGTGCAGGCCTTTTGCGACGCTCCGAAGCTGCAGGCCACCTTCAGATCTGGCGTGCAGCTTGAGACCGCCCACCAGGTGACCTCCGAGCCGACCGCGTACTGCGAGCTCAGGTCCAGGGGCACCCCCCTGTACAGCTCCTTGTCCGCGCTCGGCAGCTTTGACAAGGCCGCCAGAAGGATTCGCAGGTACAGGAAGTATTGCTGGATGGAGCACCGCTGCGCAGAGCGCAGCGCTGCGTTCAACTGTCTGTAGAGGTGGTTGGTGGTGTACATGTGGACCGCGGCCGCCTCCTCGATACCGAGAGCGCCCCGGTTCATAGCCTGGGCCTTGGTGGTTGACTGCCGAGCGGCGTCCGCAAGCTTGAGGGCCCGAAGTGCTTCTGCGAGGGGCACAAGCGGCGACGACTCCACGCCCGTGATGTCTGCCAGCTCTTCGTTGCCCGAGTCCAGGCCATCCCTCAAGCGCTCCAGGTACATTCGGTGCAGTTCCTTCGTCTCGGTGATGAATTCGCCCATCGCGCTGGCGCGCGCATCCGTGCAGAGGTGGTGTTGCCAGCCATCGCTGGGTAGCCAGTCGATGGGCAGTCCAAGCTGCAGCGCCTTCAGCTTGTCATTGATGGCCCCGAAAATATTGGGCTCATCCAAGAAAGCGTCCTGCATGGCCGCAGGGTTTTTGTGCTCCACGTGCTCCATCCGAACGTCTCGGTACGCCGCGAAAATGGTCTTGGCGAACTCCTTTTTTAGCTTCAGGCTCTCCCCACCCCACCAGGCGAACACAAGGCCTTTGCCGTGCAGTCTGCACTCTGCCAAGATCGCGCCCAGGATTGCCTCGATGACCGGAGCCCAGAACTTTCTGTGCTCTTCCACAACGCTGCCAGCCCTGACGGACTTGTCCTCGGGAGGGAGCAGCGTGCATGCGGCATTCATGAAGAGCACCCCCTGCGTGAGCATTGCCTGGAACCATTCAGCAGGATTCACCACAGCCCTATCCCTTAACAACTTGCGGAACTCAGCGCTGGGGGTAGCCTTGGGTATGCCGTACTTATGCATGGCCGCTGCCTTTATGATGTTGCGCATGGAAACCACAGCGCCAAAACGGCCGTCATCCCACGAAGAGATGGAGTTGTCAAAATGTGCAATGCCAGTGGCAGACTCGACCCGAGGGTACGGGGACTGCCCCAAGGAAATCACGCGCCATCCAGATGGCGGGTTCGGCTTCAACGCTTGCAGCGTCAGTTCCCGAATGGGCACGATCTGCTTAGGGCGTCCTGGTCCGATGAAGCCCGCAGCGTTCGGCAACTTGTCGATCACGGGTCGCAGTATGGGCTCCCACCTGAGTGCCCAGGTGACCATCTCCGACCAGTGCCCCTGATCAAACGATCGGATCGGTGCCCCTGATCTGTCGCAGGCAGCAATAGCGCCGATCGGGGACACTGCCGACCGCATCGATGGCACGTCGACCGCGCGACCGATCCGCGCGCGATTCCCGCACACTGCGATGTCCAGGTCGCCCACGGTCTGGAACTCTTGCTTGGCAGCGCGCCGCGGCGGCGGCCCCAGCGACACGCTGTGCCCTGCGAGCGGACAGCGTCTTGCTCCGCTCCGCGGCGCGACTGGCTTCCAAGAAGCCCGGGGCGTCGACGCCCAGGGAACGGGATGCCGATAGCGTGTCGCGCCGAGGCGTGGTGGGCCAGAACTGGCGGAGCGACGCGGTGCCCCGAAGTTCCCGACCGTGGCGCCGATCAAGACAACTGCCGACCGCATCGGTGGCACGTCGGCCGCGCGACCGCCGCGCTCGATTCCCGCACACTGCGATCTCTAGGTCACCTAACTTCGCGCGCCGCGTCCAGCAATGCTCGACGCGCGGACATCTTCGCGCCCTCGCGCCGCCCCTGCTGGAGAAGGGCAGCTCTGTGGCGCAAGCCGCGGCGCGCGAAGCGAGACCACCCCCGCGCCCAAGGACCACTGCGGGCGACCTTCAGCCTATGTAGCCGATCCGCGTGCGATTCCCGCACGCAAGTCGCCTACACGTAAGAGTGACTCTGGGCAGGATTGACCTTTGGTGCGCAGTTTCGGGCAGACGCGGGGGGGCTAAATCCAGGCGTGCAAGCCGCTGCCATCGCATTGCGCTCGACGATCGGGGTACATACCCCAGTGGCCCCGCACCAAAGGTCACTCTGCGCAGGGTCACTCTTACGCGTACAGCCAGACCAAGGATTTACTAACATCCTTCAAGAACATGAGACCATCCGCCTGCCAAACGGAAAGACTTTTGAAAGTAAGTACCATCCCCCAGGATGCACAACAACGCGCAACAAAAACGAAGAACACTAGGGTACCCTCCCCGAGCCGACCTCGATCTTTTACTCTGGTCCGACCGTAGCCGAGCCAGGGCCTCCACACAGCGCCGTAACCTTTCCCGCAGAACAGGGCAGCGAGCCCCAGCGGGTCCTCTGCCGAAGCAACGGCGGCGGTCCCGGGCGGCGGCGAGGCGGCGGGGGCGGCCAGCGCACACTTTGCCCTCTTGGCCGGAGGCTGCCCGTCAGCGGGCTGGGGCGCGTTGGCAGCCCGCTTGGCCTTAGGGGCCACGGGCTCCTTCGAAGCTTTCAAGGTCGCCTTGGCGGCCAGCTTCGCCTTGGCGGCACCCTGCGGCGGCGGCTCGGAAAGCGCATCGGCCTTCGCTTTCGCAGGCGGCGCCGCGGCCGCCTTGGCCGCGGCCTTCGCCTTGGCCTCTGCTCCACCCCCCAAGATCTGCTTGCCGAGCTGGTCCACGGCACCGTCCACGATGCGGCCCCACTGCTGCGGCGAGCCGCCCAGGAACCAGGTGATCTTGGAGCCCGCCTTGGCCATGTCCGCCCACTTCGACGGCTTGCCTGTGTTTTGCTCACGCGCATCGATGCCCTCCGCCTGGACGCACCTGCATCTCGAGGACGCCTTCGTCACGGGCAGCGTGTCGCCAGAGGCGAGCCTCACGGAGTCCTTGCCGCCGTGGATCGCGGCGTGGATGCGGAGGGCGTCCGCCTGCGAGACAGGCATCGCCGCCCGATGGGGGCCAAGGCCAGGGCGGCGGCAGGCGTGGCAGTCGAGGGAGGGATGGCTGCGAGCGTGCCCGCCAACCTGGCGCACAAGAAGGCCTGGTCTCCCTCTCAGACAGGACGACCGTGGGGAACTGGCAGGTGAGGGGGGAGCACCGACCCCCAATCACCCATCCGCCGCGATTGGGGCCTGCGCACCCCGTCCCGCCGCGACGCGGGTGGGGTGGGGTGCCGCGACGCGGGCACCAGTCCCAGGGCGGCTGGGAGCCTGGCCCCATGGTCACGCGGTTGGCCTCTGTCCTCGGCAAGCCCGTGCGCTGCGCACGGCCGAGGCAGAAGTGTGCGAGCGAAGGGAGACAGGCGGCGAGGGGTCCCCGCGGTGACACATCCGAGGGCAGAGTCCCTGGCCGCCCTGGGGCGCTCTCGGCGGGAAATCTCACAGCCCCACGGCGAGACGGCGTAGCGCAAGGCCTCCAGCTGCCGTGGGACGGGCGCCCCCGTCGGTGGAAAGCCGCACTCTGCACCCGCTTCTGAGGCCGCCCAACTTCGCGCGTCGCGCCTCGCGATGCGCGACCCAGAGCTGTCTTCGGGCCCTCGCGCCCCCGCGCCGTCCCTCCTGGAGGAGGGCAGCCGCACCGGCCCGGACCGCGCAGCGCGGTCATCCTGGCCCTGGCGCCCCTGGGGGTGACCAGCGGCAGCAACTAAACTCGGCCAGGCTGACCTCGGCCAGGCTGAGCTCGGCCAGGCTGAACTCGACCAGGCTGACCTCAGCCTGAACTCGGCCAAGCTGACCTCAGTCAGGCTGACCTCGCTCAGGCGGAATTCGGCCCAGGCCGAGTTCAGCCTGGCCGAGCTTCGCCTGGCCGAGTATCCCCCCTGTCCCTACAGTGCGGGCGCGGCCGCAAAAAACCCTCGCAAGAAACCCAACCTTGAAATCCCGCGCGAGAGGTGCACCTGAGGGGAAACCCGGAGCACCCTGAACGCAGCAGCTTCTTCAACGGCTGCGAGAAGTCACAGCACAGCGCGCGGAGCGAAGATACGCTGACGAAAAGCAAATGGCTTCTTGACGCGCGACCCCACTGTAGCCGCTTCCGTCCGCCCGGCAGGGCAGAGAAGTCCCCCTCCAAGCGTCCCTGCGTGCGGCCTGTGCCCTGGGAGTGGGGGGTGCCGAGCGGAGAGCCGAGAATACCCCAGGTGCGAGGTGAACGGGAGGACCTGGAATCCCGAGGGGACCTCCCCCCCTTCCAGCTGGCCACGCGCGCCCTGGGGGCCCTCTGCCTCCGCCGTTTCCTCCTCCTCCTCCTTCTCCTCCTCCTCCTCCTCTTTATCCTGCCCCTCCTTCCCCTCCTCCCCCTCCTCCTCTTCCTCCTCCTCCTCCTCCTCCTCCTCCTCCTTGTCCTCCTCCTCCTCCTCCTCCTCCTCCTCTTCCTCCTCCTCCTCCTCCCTATCCCTTTTCATCCATCCCTCCTCCTTATGAGTAATTCCTCCCTGTCGCACCCCGAGACGTTTCAGTAGGGCGGGCTGGGCGGTTCGCCGGAGACGTCTCTGCCGTATATCATTCTGACGCTTGACAATTGCAACAGCTTCACGGAGCGAGGGCGGGCCGTTTTCAGAATGTGGTTCTCGTCTTAGCGCCGCTCACATCCGTCATTCAAGTGTGCAACAACTTCAAGGATGGAGGTCGGCCCGTCTTCACAATGTGGCTCTCGCCTTAGCGCCGCGTGCAATCGTCTTCAAATCTTGCAGCAGTTTCAAGGGTGGAGGGCGGTTCCTTTTCAAAATGTTGCTCTCGCCATAGCGCCGCGCACATTCGTCTTAACAATTTGGAACAGTGTCAAGGAATTGTATGGCCGAAGTTCCCAGAATGGTGTTCTGAGGCGACTGAGGGTTGTCAGGACGCAACAACAACGTTGATTCGTGGTGTTGAAGCCCGACGACTGGTGCTATGGCACGGTTTAGGAATATCAGCACGCAACAGTCACGTTGATTCGCGGCGTGGAAATCCCTGGAATGGTGTTCTGACGCGATTGAGGATTGTCAGACGGTTGTCTTCCAATTGGGCACTGCCCAAAATTAGAATAGTTTCTGGCAGTGGCCTATGAAAAAGGGAACTTGGAAGAATTACTTATTGCAGCATCGTTGATGTGTCTTGGTTTTGCACTGGCTTTCTTCCTCCTTCTTTTTTTCCTCCTCCTCCTCCTTCTCCTCCTCCTCCTCCTCCTCCTCCTCATTTCCTCCCCCTCCACCTCGCCCTCCAACCCTTAGCCCTCCTCCTCCTCTTCCTCCTCCTCCTCCTCATCGTCGTCCTCCTCCTCCTCCTCCTTCCCCTCCTTTTCATTTCCTCCCCCTCCCCCTCCCCGTCCCCCTCGCCCTCCAACACCTAGCCCTCCCCCTCCCCCTCCCCCCCTCCTCATTTCTCCCCCTCCTCCTGTTCCTTTTTTTTCTCCTCCTTCTCCTCCTCCTCCTCTTCCTCCTTATTTCATCCCCCTCCCCCTCTCCCTCGCCCTCCAAAGCCTAGCCCTCCTCCTCCTCCTCCTCCTCCTCCTCCTCCTCCTCCTCCTCGTCCTCCTCCTCCTTTTCCAGGCCCGCTGGTAAAGGGGTTGGAGCGGTCGAGCCCGCACGCGTAACTAGTGCTGCACGCTCCAAAGACCACCACTCATCGGTATGAGCGCTGTCCTCCTCCTGGCGTGGGCCCGACGAGGCCGATCGCCCCTGTCCTCCAGCCTCGCCTCTCATTTCGCGCTACCTCCTGGTCGCGCGGGGGCCGCAAGCGAGTACACTGGCCAGGGCCACCGTGGGCCCACAGCCTGGGTGCCTTCGGCGGCGGGCCAACGGGAGGAGGCATGGTCGCACGGACGCGCGGGAGGTCCCGTGGGGCCCGCCTGGCCTTGGGGGTCAGTGGTCAGTGGGCTGCGCCCTGGTCATAACTTCAAGGGCAGGCCCCCATAGCCGTCGAAGCGCTCCCCCCCCCAGAAGAAACGCCCAACGGGACGCCGTCGCCTGGTGCGGGCGCCCGCGGGCGGTGAAAAGTGTGATGCCCACCTCCAGCTGTGGGTGCGGTCGCGCGCGACCGCGGGCGGCGGCCCAGAGCGTGCTGCCCCGTTGAGGCGACGGCTGCGGTCGCGGTCGCCCGCGGGTGGCCCGGCATGCGCTGCCTGGCCGCAGTTGGCTGGCGCCTGCAGGCGGCTTGGAGGTTCCCCGAACTGTCCGTCGACGGCAGTCAATCAGTCAGTGAGTCAGGCACCGCCGGGCACGGAATCACACCCAGCTCCACTGGGGATGGGAAGTAAGGAGAGAACGAGGGGGAGAGAGAGAGAGAGAGAGCTACATACACGCACACATAAACATACATATACACATACACATAAGTACATACATGTATGCATGCATGCAGACAGACAGACAGACAGACAGACAGACAGACAAACATACATACAAACATACCATGCAAGCATACACACACATACACACATACACACACACATACACACATACATACATGCATGCATGCATGCATGCATACATACATACAAGCATGCATGCATACACAGAGACATGCATGCATGCATTCATACATGCATGCATGGACCAATACGTACATACATACACATATACATATATACATGCATACATACACACATACACATACATGCATACATACATACATGCATGCAAACATACATGCATACATACGCATATAATTACAGGCATACGTGCATACATGCATACGTGCATGCACACATACACACATACACACATGCATACACGCATACACACATACATACATACATACATACATGCATATGCACGCATGCGTACATACATACATACATACATACATGCATACATGCATGCATGCATGCATACATACAAACATGCATACATGCATACGTGCATGCATGCATGCATGCATGCATGCATGCATGCATACACACATACATACATACATGCACACATACATAAATGCATACATGCATGCATACAAACATACATACTCATACATACATATATGCACGACTACGCATGCGCAAATGCATCACACACATACGTACGTACATACATCCATACACATTCTTACATACATACAGACACACAGACACACACACACATTCATACATGCATACAGGCATACAAGCATACATGCATCCGTACATACACATACCTACATACATACATGCACACAAGCATAGGCACATGCATACGTACATACGTCCATACGTACGTACATGCATACATACACACATACATACACACATCCACACATCCACACTTGATTGCATGCATGCATCGACACATACATACGTGCATATGTACATATATACATACACATCTGATACTGGAGAAAAAAGCAATCAGGGCTATAGGGCTAGGGGGCTTTAGGGCTATAGGGCTATTGAGCTACAGGGCTATAGAGCTATAGGGCTATAGAGCTGCAGGGCTATAGGGCTATTGGGCTATAGGGCTATAGGGCACCCCGGGGCACCCCGGGGCACCCGGGCACCCAGGCACCCGGGCACCCCCGGGCACACCCCGGGAACCCGGGCCCTGGGCAACCCTCGGACACCCGGGCACCTGGGCGTGCAGCGAAAATCGGCGACAAACCTAACATAACCATATGAATCCGCTAGGACCCCTACAGAGGCAAGCTCTGATTGGGGAACATACATGCGTGGGTGCATGCATGCATACACACACATATATATATAATACCGTAGCAAAGCCCAATCAAAGTCTTCGTACGGCTATAGGGCTATAGGGCCATAGTGCTATAGGGCTATTGGGCTATCGGGCTGTAGGGCTATAGGGCTGTAGAGCTATAGGGCTATAGGGCAATAGAGCTATAGGGCTCTAGGGCTTTAGGGCTATAAGGCTATAGTGCTATATGGGTATACATACATATAAAGAGCTATAGGGCCATAGGTCTATAGGGCTATGGGGCTGTAGGGCTATAGGGCCATAGGGCTATAGGGCTTTAGGGCTATAGGGATATAGGACTATGGG